CCAATCCAGTGAATGTGAAGAATCAGACGAGTTGCTTAAGCTATATCACTAACACGTAAAATTTAGATCATGGGTCTTTAAACTATGGCCCGCAGGATGGATCCAGCCTGCCATGGCCATCTATCCAGCCCGCGCCGCCATTTGCCGCCCGCGTGCGCTAGCTGCGCGGATGGGGAGGTGGTGGCTTGCTCACTCGGAGATGGTCTCCTAGTGAGCGAGCAGGCCACTGCCTGCCTCCCGTACGCACGCTGCTCCCTTGCAGCGTAGGTGGGGAGGTGGTGGCTTGCTCGTTCAGAGATGGTTTTGGACTTGCTGAGAGGTCTCTGAGCGAGCGAGCCACCGCCACATGCGCCCGATGCTGCCTTGCGCGCGCCCAACAGCCCACGATGGTCACCACAGCCTTTCAACTGACCCCCTATTGAAAAAGTTTGAGGACCGCTGGTTTAGATACTATGCTGTCACAAACACAGTGATAACTGTATGGTAGTGACAGTCAGAAACAGCAACTCTGTGTATAGTCAGTGCCCCACATTGAACTATCAGGGGTCAGAGGAATCACCTGAGAGCAGAAAGCGCCTAGATAAAAAGAGAATACGGTTATTTGTTGCATTGCTATCACAATTCCTGGTATTTTGCTTGCTTCTAATAAAATACAAAGCATGATCAGAACACATTCAGAGGAAATGCTGAGGCAGAACTGACAAGTGAAGCAATGGGTCACGACTATGAAACTCACCAGGCACAAATGAAAAAGGAGAGAGAGTGCAATCTAATTTCATTACATATGGAAATATCTTATGAAACAGACCTAGAGTAATTCTGAAGATGGCTGACAACAAAATTTGATAATCATTAGCTAGTGAAAGAGTTAGAGAGGCTGTTGCCTCAGGAGTGGCTGGAGTTTTTTCCAGGTTACAGAGTTACACTCTTACTCCTTTCCTGGAAAAGCAGACCATGAAGGCAGCTCAGTTTAGTAACATTCAGTCAGGTCAGTTATGACTTGGAGCTTAGAACAAATGCTAAGTGAATTTACAGGAGCAAAATTCAGTACAGGCTCATTCATAACGAATCCAATTGGTCTAATAAAACTATTCGGTCACATGTTTGGGTAGGATAATAGGATAATAGCAAAACACTGCACAAAGTCGCAGAATATAGGGCTAGATTCTGAAAGAAATTATTACTACCAGGTTTTTAGACCCCAAAACTGTGTATGCCAGACATGCATATATCTTTGTTGAAAGCTCAGAGTGTATCCATTGAACTTATTTGGGGTTTTGAAGGTGGTCAGAAGAAGCAAGCATTCCCCGCACTTCCATATCTTCTGCAAACTAAGTATAATGTCTGATGGATGACCTGTTTCCCCCCATAAATAGGGGCTAGGGGTTGAAAGACTGGTAATAAGCACATCACCTTGCTGTTGTGCCAGTTCTGTTTCCAATTCTATGCAAATTTGGCAATACCAAATTGATGGCCCTATGAGAACTGCTTTAACAACTATATTTATAACTGTACACACAACATGCTGGCTTGGATTAACAAACAAACAATGGTGACTTCTTTTTAATCCTGTCATGTTCCTACTGCCATATCCGAAATTGTCACATCATTTGAGCTCAGATGGCATGACTTATTTCAGGGAGAAACAACCCTCAAATTAACCACTGGTTATTTGAGGGTTATATAATTGTCTGTATAATCAATTTACAACATGGAAACACTGGCCATCTTACAGATGCTCTGAAAGCTAATTAGCATTTCTTGATTTTTCAAGGAGTTGCAGCTATGATCCAAAGAGGGCTAAACGTGCCATATCCACAGATAGGGCTAACTTTACAATTTTTACGGCTTATTTCTAAGGAATCAACTCATCTATTTAAAATGGATAGCACACTCCTGCTTTGTTAATGCCCCTACTGGATTGCAACCTACATCTATAAGCTGCCATTAACACTATCATTTTGGACTAATGGATCCTTAAGCCTAATAAAAGTCAATTCGCAGACATTTGTTATTCACATTCTAAATGAAATAGAATGTCCTGACTCAATCAAGACCTAAGAGAACATACTGACTCCTTGGTTTTATTGCTTGTCATATAGCTATGACCAATATTTTACTGAGCAATAAGCAAAGATTAAATACTATTTAAATGAACAAGACAATAAAAGAAAAATGTGCAGAGAAAAAAAAATTAAAGTACAGATCCTTGCATATGAACCTCATTCAGTATCCCCCATCAAAGGAGAAATGTTCACCCAGTTGTAGTATTCATTGCATTTCTCAGTGAAAATAACTGAACTGTAATAAGCCAGAATTCATGGAAACCACCATAGATATATAAATTAAAACTCAACAGAATTGAATTATCCTACTAATACCATAAATACCCTAAGAGCACCCCATCCAAAACCTCATTGTGCAGTCTCCATTTTTCATGAATACAGCTTAATTAAGGTAGGCACCAAAAGCTGTCCTGCATATATAAAAGATAATGGCTTAGATAATGTTTTCACCCGCAGTTGTTGTTGTTTTAATCAAACAAAGCTGTAAAACAGTATGTACAAACAACCTATTTGTCTAAATATAGTACATATACAACAGAGACACACATTCCACTTGTTTTCTCTTACTAGTGTGATCTCATGTAGCACATGCAGTACTTTACATGCAAGAAAAGCTACTGCATGAAATGATAAAACTAAAGCAAACATTCTTAATATATTCTAGGTATTGTGCACAGATTACTGGAAAAAATAGTCCTTTGAAAAATAACTCTCCTTTAAAAAATAAAATTCACTCCCATATGCATGAAGCAGAGTTTAAGCTCAACATCACTGACCAATCAAAATTAGTGAATGCACTGCATCTCTCTGCAGTGAAGGAAAGCGACAAGGTAGGCTGTCATTCTGCACAAGCTGCCCAGAACAAGCTTTCCGAAGCAGCAAAGCTGCTCCTCTTCAGAACGGCTGAACCTCTGTGTTGTCTCTGGAGACCAGAAGCCTTCAGTATGTTAAATTACTTTCATTATGCATTTGCAGATGCTTATTGATTCTCCGGTAGGAAGTGGGAGACTGCAGCATGCTCTAGGAGCAGAATTACATGCTGTATGCATGAACCAAACGCTGAAACAATGGCACAGCACAAACACAAATTTTCATTAAGGTCCTATTCTGGAGAGATGCTTTTTACCCTCTTCCCCCTGTATTCTGCTAACAAGTGAAAAAACAAAACCACAAACAATGAATCCCACCAAACTGGAACTGCTCCACCAGCTTCGAGAATTTATTCAGCCCTGAGTAGAGGTAAGGTACATTCCTTATTACTGTACAGAGCCTCAGCAGCGTCTAAGAAAAGGCTTTTGTGAAGGGGGAAAGATTACAGGTTCAACTTAAAATTATGATTTGACTTTCTGTTCTTATGTTTGATGACACACACAGTGTTAGTATTCAAATATGTTTTTTCCCATTTAAAAGGCTAAAATCTTTAATAAGTGTTTTGTCTGTAGATGTATAAGATGTGAAAGATTACTGTTCTTGTGCCAAAAAGAGGTTGTATAGCTAAGGTACCAGCTGCTAAATATTTCTTAATGCAGTTAAAAGGCGTCATTATTAAGGCCATTAAAATATTGTACAGCCACATATGTCACAAATAAATATTCCAGAAATGGTAATATATGCTTCTTTGTGGAGGGTGGGCTTTATGACTAAACCCCAACTTGCTAATAGGAAAAATAAGGCTCCCCCCATTTTTTTTAAACACAACTCTGTTAAATGCTTTGCTACTGAAGGTATGCTGGAATAAATGTATTGTACATAAGCTTATACAGAGTAAGGAATTTTAAAGGCATGTGCAAATTAGGTTGAGCTGAATTCTCATGAACCAGCTGAGGCTCTTACATGGTCACATGAAGTCAAGTGTAATCTAGTATCTGATTAAAGGTATACATTTCATGCTACTGATGAATGTAATTAAGAAAATAATGCAAAAGCATTTCCCCTTTCTATGCACACACACTTATTGCTACTGTCTCTTTGCTTTTAATATCATTTAGAATATATCTAGCCTAAACTGATCCAACTGAGAAGCTATGGTAGGGAAAACTTCCATATTTGAAAATATTGTTACTGTTATATGCTTCCTACAAAAATAGGACTATTTTACATTATCTCACAGAAGACATGTTACACATCACACAGTCAGATGAAAGAAAATGTTATCATTCATATCCAAATTATAATACTATTCTAATTATCCTAGAATCTATTTTAACATGTTTCTCTTTCCTTTGAAGGGTGCACACCATCTAGTTCAGACTTTTTATTGACAACAGGAAGAATACAGTTGCCTGGGGATCTTCGTAGCAGTTTGTACAAGGTTCACCACAGTGCGCTTATAATACATGTTTTTAAACAGAAAGGATTCAGAACAAATCTAACAGAGATCTGGATTACTTCTTGAATGGTGTATAATGCATTTGTATACACTGAAGACTAAAAGGGCACCTGCTCAAATATCCAAGGAAAGGAGATTAATTCAGTGGCTTATTGCTAAAGCAAAATGGTGATCAACTCCTATGAAGGGATTTATAACATAAAACCAGAACTGTGGATATGGCTGATGAATGAAGAAACAGCAAGACAAAACTTCCCTGAAGGAATATATGTATAACATCAACTTGCTACAATTGGGATCTAAGCAAGTTATAATACTTCTATAGAATATAATTTGGGTCACTTGTTACAGTGACTGAAGTTTAAGAAAACTATCACAAACATGCCAACGTAGTTTATGGCTTCCAAGAAACATACAGCAACAATTTCTATGACAACATAAAGACTCCAGTCTAATTAGCAAAAATATTGCTGAAATCAGTGTACAAAAGCAACAAGAGGATATCTAAGTAGGTTTCTAAAGGCTGTTATCCAATATCAATTTTTATTTTGGTATCTCAGGGTGGGGATTAAAAATGGTAAAAAAATATCAACCACTTACAAAAGTGCTGCTATCCACTGCTGGCTTTAAAAATTATCATATACTTCAGGCTCTGGTCTGTAGATACATATCAGGCAATTAAGTCTTTATTCAATTTTTTTAATCTTTTGCTGGAGTGCTGGAACAAAAAGAAAACTAAAATACTCTACAAGACAGGAAACAGATCGCAGCCATCTCTCTGTTGCCAGGTGGAAAGCATGTCAAAATCTGTCAGTGACACCATGTATGAATTTATGACAAGCTGCTACAGCGAACTGAAAGGCCCTTGAGGCAACACAAACAGGTAGGTCAGAAGCTGCATGCGTCCAACCTCTGCTTAACATTTATAGAAGAACAGAGCACAGCTCTAGAGATGCATTTCCTTTTAATTACCTTCCCATCCTGACACTGCTGCTTCTATTTAGCTGAACAACTAACTGATGCAACCACAACCTGATGTTTAATCTGTCTGTCTAAAATTTGGCACATGGATAATTTTCCGTTTTTGTAAGAATTCAATATGCATGTTCCTGCAATTGACTCTTGCAGAGTCAGCCAGGGTATGGCCTGCATCACCTTATTTCCCTCTAATTTGTCTGAGCTTCTTGTTAACCCATGCAATAAAACATACATTTATAATACATTTCAAATAGCTATTAAAACATGTTTGTGACTAAGGCCATAGAAATTAGCTGAGCAATTCTAAACTTGCACATGGTGAGAGTGTTCTTAAAAGGTGGGATTTTTTTTCTTTTTGCTTTATTTCACGTGCAAAGACACATTAGTTTAAAAATGTCTTTAATAACTTTGCCTGCTAATTCACTGTGATTTAAAAGCCTGCTGTGGAAGTTTCTAAAGGAAAGGATTCATATCTCCAGTTTCATTTAGTTCATTTTTAATGAAAAGTTAGGGTTGAACGATGATTTAAAAAATCGGGGAAACTAGGTTTGTCAAAATCTCCCAGTTTGCAATCCTATGTACATTACCGAGGAGTAAGCCAGAGTGAGCACTATGAGACTTTGAGGAAACATGCACAGCGTTGTCAGAATGGCTACAGAACTGAAAAAGTTCATCTTTCAGAAACAGTTTATTACCAAAGTGACTCACAAATATTTCATGTTGTAATTATAAAATACAGAGGGTGTTGTCATATCATGTCATTCTGCTATAATTAATGCTATTTCACTAAATAATGTATCTTTGTAACTGGAGAAATAAGATTTTCTTACAGCATTTCATAGAAGTCCCCTCACACTCACTCACTTAGGTCTGCTCCATGCTATTTCTGTATTCTCGTTTACTTAGAAAACAAAAAAATATGTTGTGGTTAAATCTGCTTCTTTCATGCAGGCCAGTAGCTCAGTAATTCTCTGCTAACAGCCAGAATCTGGGCTAGAAATGCTAAGAAACTCAGCACATTAAAATATGAAATAATACAGTGAAGTGTTCATTTTCACATACCATGTATATTTACACACATTGACTGTATTATTATATACACATAGGCCCAATTTACTGCAGATACATGGAAACACACAAATAAAAGAAATTTCCAATTAAGCAACACTATGCTATTTCAATAACTTTTGAAAATTGATGTGGCAGATTCCTAATCCAAAGAAAACTTTCAGGATGAGGATATCATGTAGAGATAAAAGTAATTTAAAAAAAACACAGTTACCTTTCTACCACAGAAGTGCTACATAAAATTATTTGTTTTTCAAAGAGTTTGGAGCAATGCATTCATTCAGTTTGAATCTGAAATATTGTCATTGTGGCAACAAATAAACAAAAGGGCATTATTTCAAAAACAAACTAAATACAGTTTGAAATTCTGTGTTAAAGTTCAGTGAAAACCAAAACCTGATTTTCTTTCAATATGTAAATTAAGAGGATCTAAAATCAAACAGCTTTCTATCTTCTCTCTCATCTTTCAGGAGAAAAACTTCCAAGAAAAGAATGTGTTTCTCTTCCATTCCAGAAGTCAACATGCAGTCTGAATCTAACATTACAGTTCGAGATGCCATTGATGACATCAATACCAATATGTACCAGCCACTCTCCTATCCATTAAGCTTTCAAGTTTCTCTCACTGGATTTCTGATGTTAGAAATTGTATTGGGACTTGGCAGCAACCTCACTGTATTGGTGCTTTATTGCATGAAATCCAACCTAATCAACTCTGTCAGTAACATTATTACAATGAATCTTCATGTTCTTGATGTAATAATTTGTGTGGGATGTATTCCTCTAACTATAGTTATTCTTCTGCTTTCACTGGAGAATAATTCTGCACTGATCTGCTGCTTCCATGAGGCTTGTGTGTCATTTGCCAGTGTTTCCACTGCAATCAATGTCTTTGCTATCACTTTGGACCGATACGATATCTCAGTGAAACCTGCAAATCGGATTTTGACAATGGGAAGAGCTGTGATACTCATGACATCAATATGGATTGTCTCTTTTTTCTCCTTCTTGATTCCATTCATTGAAGTAAATTTTTTCAGTCTTCACAGTGTAAATACTTGGGAAAACAAGACACTCTTATGTGTGAGCGCTAATGAATATCACACAGAACTGGGAATGTACTACCACCTTTTAGTACAAATTCCAATTTTTTTCTTCACTGTTATAGTAATGCTAATTACATACAGCAAGATACTCCAGGCACTTAATATCCGAATAGGCACAAGATTTTCCACAGGACAAAAGAAAAAAGCAAGAAAGAAAAAGACAATTTCTTTGTCCACACAACATGAAACTACTGATGTATCACAAAGCAGTGGAGGGAGAAATGTTGTCTTTGGTGTAAGAACTTCAGTTTCTGTTATAATTGCTCTGCGGCGGGCTGTAAAGCGACATCGTGAACGACGGGAAAGACAGAAAAGAGTCTTCAGAATGTCACTGTTGATCATTTCGACTTTCCTTCTCTGCTGGACACCAATTACAGTTTTAAATACTACAATTTTATGTTTGGGCCCAAGTGACCTTTTGGTAAAATTGAGATTATGTTTTCTAGTCATGGCATATGGAACCACCATCTTTCACCCTCTATTATATGCATTCACTAGACAGAAATTTCAAAAAGTTCTGAAAAGTAAAATGAAAAAACGTGTTGTTTCAATAGTAGAAGCTGACCCTATCCCAAATAATGCTGTAATACACAATTCATGGATTGAACCTAAAAGGAACAAGACAATTACTTTTGAAGACAATGAAGTAAGACAGAAGTGTTTAGTACCTCAGGTTGTCACAGACTAGAATTCAGTATTCACTGGTCCATTTAAAAGGAAACATAAAAACATGCTGAAGTAAATACTGCCAAATAAGGATATTTAAAAGAAAAGGAAAAGAATTGGTTAGACTGTAAATGTTTAACATACCACTTAATAGAGTATGCCTGTATATTCTAATTCTTCATTAGTCAAGATGTGTGTTGCATGGCAGTTTAACGTAATACTATGTGTATATTTTGTCAATACTTTGTCTTCTAATATACATCTAAGTAAATATTTTCTTAAAAAATAGCCTTAAAGCAGTGTACATGTTAACTATATATATGAGTTGCTGTAAATCTATAAAGCTCTGTTTTGAAGCTTTCTGCAACAATGAGATAGTTCATTGAAAGTTGTATGACATTAAGGTCTTTAAATCTTAGTAATCTGTTTTAACATAATATCCAGTTTTTCTCAATAATTTTCATTTTTTTCAACCATTAGAAGCATGAAATTGTGTGTCCAATAAACTTCAGGACAACCACTTACATATACGCACACACCAGCTTTCTGAATTCAAGCTAATCTAAGATGTGTGCTTTTATTTAAAACAAATACCTGGCACACTAGCACTTTAAAGACTAACATATTTATATAAATGTGTCTTCAAAGGCAGGACAAGAAGTGCTTTTACAACTAGTTTTTATTAGAAGTATGAAAATAGTCTGAAGAAAGTCTGGATAAAATGTTACCATACATCAAGGAAGAAATACACACACAAATAGAATAGTAGGAGAGTTGGAAGGGGCCTGTAAGGCCATCAGGTGAAGCCTCAGCTCTGCCTTCCACCCACCCAGCTGCGAGCCTGCTCCTTTCCAGCTTAGCAAAGGTGACTTGAGATGCCAACTCAATGTACAGCTATGCAGGCAATCTATTCCTTCTGGAATTCTGTGTAAGCTTACTCAGGATATATCCAGTGAGAGCATGTTTTAAGGCACTTCTCAAGCTTTCATACACAGTGTGTCAGCCTGGAAACAGTAAGCACTGTCATGTGCTGCCAATGTTCTTGCTTCACATGTTCAAAGCTATCTGGCTTGCCGTCCAGAAGGTATTAAATCAGTAACTTCGACTCAAGGAAAGAAGGCACTTCAAAGTTTTTCAACTACAACAAAGTTTTCATGCTTAACATTCTCAAACCCTTCCAAAATCCCTGTATTTTTGAAAGGTTGATGCTGCACTCTACAGAATTCAGAACCCAGCATTGCTCATCATTGGAGCAATGATCTCACCATATCCTACAATCAGCATTTGAACTTAATGAAGAAATTTCTATCCCAGGTTAACGAATCAGATTAAACAAGCCCTGAATAATATTGTTCTTACTTGGTAATAATCTTTCCTTCCGTTCAGCCCTTTCTACTAACGGTGATATGTGATCAAACTGTCAGATGGTACCTGTTAGTTTGCACAAATGCATCAGAAGGTAACACTGTAAGTGTTAGTGTAAGTCTATCCAAAAAATAAGTTTGTTGGGAAGCATTTTGTTTATTTGACAGGATCCAGGTAACTTCTGAGGAGCACTCATTTCTCAATGATGTGGGTATGGTAGCACCTTCCAGTTCCTCAAATTAGCACTACAACTTGCCCAGTACTAATGTAATAAGAGAAATTTTAAACATCATATGAAACATAGTTGTATGAGTTGGACTGATAATGAATAACCCAATTGTCTCCTGCCACTTTTTATTATTATCTGACACCTCTACTCATCCTAAGAAAATAGGATTTGAAAAATCACCCCATTTATTTTTAGAATTTTGTTTTTTCTTCAAGCCAGCTAATGCTTATTGGGCAGAATGAACATTTCATACAGCAATCTTGCATGCATCAACATAAGTCATGCAATCATCTTAAACTGGATTTAACATGTACAGCCAATGTGCTTGTGGAAATCAATGCAATCTGTAGATCTTGACAGGTTGCTTCTGGTGTGTCACACTGTAATTTGGACTCTTGATTTTCAAAGTTGATAAAGGGTAACTTCTGATCAAGATAGTGAATGACTTTTAGGAAGAAAAGAAGTTAGCCTCTCTTAATACATTTATTGGGTCTCCTCAATAGGACATTACACCCTTTGGGTGCCTAAGTTGCAAGTGTCTTAACCCTCCTTGGTGGGCAGGACTGACTCCCAGAATTCCTGGATGATGATGCTTTGATGTTTGAGCCATTTAAATTTGGGCTTTTAACTTGGCTCAGAGATGGTCCTTACAAACCATTTGGAGGTTGGGGGAAATAATTTCATCCCATTTCCCACTTTGTGGAGTTGCCTGATCTACAGTGATGAGAAGACTTTTGTTAATCTTGCAAAGGAGTCAGCTACCCAACATTATGTCTGTGATATCAGAAGGATGCATGCAAGTCTGAGAAGCCACTCCATCCAGGTAGCACTAGTTCAAACATTTGGATGTCACTGAGGGATTTGAAAGCCTTGAGCTGAATGATTTTGCAAGACTTGGGAAAATCCAGTTTAAGTTTTGTCAAAGTTTTCAATTGATACATTAAAGGCACAGATCAGTGAAAGAGGTCTCAGAGTCTCCCTTAGGAAAGAGACAAGCTCAAGTTCCTGTTTCCTATCCGTGGTGGGGTGGTAATGATTCTCCTTCAATTTAAAATAAGAATGTCACAGAATGCATGGGAGGTGCAAAAATGCAAACAATATTCAGATGTGCATTGCAAACAGATTTTGTTACTTGCAGCTTAATGGGTATGTTATGCAGTGGTTTGCAGTACAGTTTGGGTGGATTCAGGAATCAATGGTATCTGTTCAAATGCTTCCTTGCACTTAATAAAGTCACAAGTACAAAGTGCTCTTTGACCACATGGTAGTATCTGCATTACTTTTGCTCTGCTTCCCTGGATTTCTGAGCTGTAAAAGGACGATAATGCGGAGCTTAACAAAGCAGTCAGTCACAGACAATCTCCTCCTTATGCAATTTCAGATGCCACAGACATAAGCTTTTAAGCTGTGATCTGAATCCATCCAAACTTTCAGAATGAAACCTAGAATACCTTACAAACAGGAGAGTAACATGAACACCATTACAGCCTAACAAAGACATTGCATTTTGCAGATTGTTCAGTAATTTGATGATCTTTTGATAGTCCCAAAGTAGGCAGCAAAAATAGGTGGTTTATCAAGCCTCTGAAAGACTTATCATGTTTAGGTGGTAGGCTTTATTTGGCTTGGTTGGTCAGCTATTGTACAGAACTGCATTTAACAAGCCATTAAAATGACTTATGCAGCAAGGGACTAATCTAAAAGACAAGATAATTAGTGAAGAATGGCAGCAGAAAATATTACTAAGGATACCTGACAGCATATTTTATGCTAGCATTAAAGAAAATATGACAATGGAAATGAAAGGAGACTATATCATAGTGGGTTTTTTTTTAAAAAGCCCTGTATACATGCTGTTCAAACACATTAACAATGATTAGAGGTACTAGAGTTGCAGGAAGATTGTTTTGAAATATTTCTACGCATGGCAAACCAAAAAAAATCCCAATAACAATAAATCAGGTTTCATTGGCAAAAGTCTAGAGCAACTCAGAATTTTTCATCAGATAAAATAATGATAGCACCAATTCCCATACAGAGAGAGAGAGAGAGAGAGAGAGAGAGAGAGAGAGAGAGAGAGCAAGGCTAGATGTTGAAGTATTTTTATTGCTTTAACACTTTTCCCTACCTGATCACTACGATAGATGTACACACAGCCATTATCCACTTGATTCTTTAAATTCTGTGGAACCCCACATGGGATGCAAGGCCTATCAACAGCAGACAGTATTTGCATACTGTGTCTGCTAACTATTGCCCTGCCATATAACAATGGCAGATACATTTGCAAGTTCCTCTATAGTTTTATAAGGCAGTGGATGGATTTCATAGTAGTGGCCTATAGAATGTACATAATAATTTTTTAATCAAAAATATAGTATGCATAATTAAATGATTAACAGGATACTAGGACAAGCTTAGTAGGGAATGAATAACAATCAGCTAATAGCATACATACTGAATAGTGGAGAGTTGAACATGTAAAAATTTTATGATTGATACCCTTTTCCTGTAATAGGATAATTTACTGCCAATGTATATTTTTTAAAAGAGGAGAGTAGGGTTTATTTGCTTTACATAACAAATAAAAATCACCTCAGATTCTATGTCTTTTATCCTAAGATAACTTAAGGAAATACATGGAAGAAATGTTCTTATTCCACCCTTTGAAAAATGCGGGTGGAAAAATGCTGAATCCCATGGCTGGTGGGTGGATGTTGAGTGCTGTTGGGCCCTTTTTATTAGATTACTAATACTGTAGTAATATACATATATTGTTAACACTGTTTCATTCTTGTAAGTGTTGCATCTCTTTGTCATACTGTATATATTTTGCATGTTTTCTTTGTCTACCTATATATAGTAGGAATGGCTTTTAAATACTCCCACCTATGAAAGTTTGAGGCTAACAGCTTCATCCCCCCTCCCCTTTCCCCTTAAAAATAAGTTCCACTGGGCATTCTTCCAGGAAAATGGATATAGGATTGCAGCCTTAGAATAGGAATGCATGAGAATACACGATGAACAATTCTGTCTTCAATTTTTTCGCCAGTGTTGCTCCTTCCTGCTTTACTATCCTGGTCCAGCCTGGTCCTCAGAAAAAGAACAAAATAGCAAACAAACATGCTATGCCCATGACCAGCTGTTCAAAGCAAGGTGTCACGGTTAATGAGCAGAAAAACTATTCAATTTTTTTAAAAAACCCTTTGAATGCATTATTTTTTATCAATCCTGTAGTAGTTTCCTGTTGTCACCCCTCTCCATTGCTTGGTCTGGCTCCACTGCTACAAAAGCACAGAACAACAATTGCATCATGGCTGTGCCTTTGCCCCTGTGACTTCAGTCAGAGAAACTAAGGATTTCAAGAAGCAGGAGCTGGTAATTAGGTTAGACAGAGTCATTTTCATGAGGTGTGAAATTGAAATGAATGTTCATATTTGATTGGTAGGTAACCTCATTTTTATGAAGCTGTAAGTGTAGTTTTGGCATGCTTATGATGAGATTTAATTGTAACTATACTATTTTTAAAAGATAGAGAGAAATTAGTATTTTAAAAAATCAATTTAAATTTAAAGATCTGTTTTTAAACCACTGATTTTTATCTACCCTGATTCACACAATCACTTCTGCTTATCAAAGGGATTTTCATTAACTTTTGTTCCTACTGCAGTTCCTTCAGGGAAATTACACTCCTCTCCCAGAGACCTCCCAAATTTGGAAAGTGCTTTGCTGGACAACATAGTCAAGCTCGAGAAGCCTTCTTTGAATCTGGCATTTTATTTTATTTTATTTTATTTTATTTTAGCTTTAGATTACTTTGCACAACTCTTTAGCATTTCTAATTGTATTGTCTGAGCCAATTTTAATTTGCAAAAGCTATAAAAGAATATACATCTGAAGAGTCTTACAGATTGATAGAGGCACTCATGAGATCTGGCATTAGATGATAAAATACTAAAAAAACTATGTTCCAAGTTGACAGCCTCTTTAAATGTTTGATAAATGTGTTATATTTGCAATACCATTAGTTTATTCCAGCACTGCCTTTGCCTCAGCAACTCTGCAATCTCTCAGGGTGAATGGGAACAATGCCTATATCAGATAGCATGTCCTTGTTTCTCTTATCAGTCACTTTAATGAAATTGTCGATTGCTCTTTAGTTATCTTACTACCATCTTTAATTTGGTTTTCCTGTCCTCCTTTGATGGAGGGATTTAATTTGATGGTATGGGTACTATTTTACTACTGGACATTATTATTTTAGCAGTGTTCTAGAGCTCTGTTATTCCACATACCTATTTTAACAGCGCTATCCAAGCTATGTCTAGTCAGACATCCTACTGAGTTCAGTGGGTTTTATTCCTAGGAAGAATGCATAGGTTGATTTTTCATTGTCTAAGAGCGTTCTTCACCAAATCACATCTTAACTGAGTGAGTGGATATAAGAAGGCATTTTTGCCAATGCACACAGTCCCTTCACTCCTCCCTCCAAGTGAGTACAGGAATCAGGATGCAATGCTTCATCTGACTGTAGTTAAACTGTGGTTAAAATCTTTGAAACAAGCTGAGCTAGAAACTGTACAGACTGAGCCTGCTTCTCCTAAAATTCAGCATTCCAATGTGGATGCTTCAGACTCTGTACATAAACAGGAAAAAGAGGTGGGGTCAGAATTTTCAGCTGAAATTCCAAGGCCAACAATGACTGAGATAAACCAAATAGCTGGTGTGAGTTAGACTGCCTCTGGCCTGGGAGCAGACATGGTGGAACAGGGAAGGCCAGAGTGGGATGGATGTAACCTAATAAGCTCTATTGTCTGATGCCAGATTAAGAGGGATAGCCAATTAAGTAACATCTGGTGTTCCTGCCATCTGGTCCACAAGCAGCAGGAACCTCCCTGAGAGTGGACCTAACTCCATTTGGTAGAGAAGGAGGGAGTGGAATTCCATTTGGAATTAACTCTTAGTATGGGCAGTACTCTCTCTAATTCGCTGACTCTAATTGGCTGCCTTCTTCTACTTGATAGATGGTTTTTGCTAATGACCTTAACATCTGTGTTGCAAAGCCAGTCCTAACTGACTCACTTCAACTTAATAAAAGACTTCAGGAAAAGGAAAAAGGTGAAAGGTTGCAGGGAGAAACTGACTCACAGCAGAAAGCAACTTCAAAGCATAGTTTATAATAATGGTTATCCAGTCTGAAGAAAACTATACGTAATTGAAGACTGCCTGGTTTGTTTAGTCCAATCACAAAGGGAGAAGAAAAGGTGTTGTCTGTGGTGCTGAAATGCTTGAGCATATCTCAGTTTATTAGGTCAAAATATGATTGTCTGACAGACAATCCAAAATTGCCAATGTGTCCAAGAAAGTGTTTTCCCTCACAAACCGAGCTGTTTCCCCTAGAACACTTGGCATTACTAGAACAAATGTGTCCTGTGTTTGTACACTCCGCACACCCTGTCATGCTTTATTTGCTCAGTAGCTTCCTTGTTTTTCCAAAGACTGCCATTTCCCCCTTAATTTTAAATACACCAAAGAACAGTTGGACAGTTCTCCACAGGCTAGGACTACTACTGTGTCTCTGAATTACTAAAGTTGGATAGGGTGGTACAATGACTGACTCTCTTTTATTTCATGAGAGAGGCCTGTTCAGAATCCCCCCACCCCCAGGGAATATGGCTTCAACTTTTCATTACACCCACAACAGGGTACAGAGTTTTATTATAGCAATGGATGTTCCCTGATTCTATAATTCAGATGACACAGAGTTTAGATTACATGGTGAAGATTCCTCACTCACATAAAAAACTATGTTTGAGGAATACTCTGGCCCTCACAAAC